CACTTCCCCCGGAACAATAAAAGAAAGCCCTAAAATGTGACGGTTGGACCATCAAGACCGAGAAGGCGTTCTTTTTTCCGACAGCATGGTAGGCACATAACGGTGAATTATGCGATGGTTAGTTTACACAGATGGTACAATTGTATTGCATCTGCCGCATTCTCTGTTCCTTCACTCGTCTGAGCTTGGTGTCAGGAAGTGTGTCAAGAAGACTGTCGACGGAATCGAGCGCATCGGCTGACAAAGCTGAACAGTCTATTTGCGCGTACCACAAAATCATCGACTTCACATACGACTAGGGATTTACCAACAGAACAAGCGAGTGTCACTGATATCAAGTGAGTGGGGTGCTATAACAACCGCATTAGGAAGAGCCATCCAGGAAAGAAGACCAAGATATTCCGACAGTCGGCAGTTTACCAAACCATGGCTTTTATTACAATGTGATAGGTTCAAAACACTATAGATTGCTTATAGAGGGGGAAACGCGCTGCATGTGTGTTCCAGACGGCGACCTCACACACTACTCTCCCAGCTCTATTACTCTGCTAGGACTGAGCGCAGTGGATGTGGATGAGAACAGCCTGTTTGCGCGTGCAAGACCCATGACCTGCCCCCCACATCCGGATACCACTAAAGGCGGTGAGTAACTTGGATCTCAGACGCGTGCTAGTGCGGTACTTTAGCTTCAGCATCCAAAATATGCCGGCAAAATCTCAGCGAAAGTATCTTTTGACATGATTAACTGAAGAGACTATTGAAAGTTGTACTGAAACGTTCCCCAATGATATCGTATAAGGCAAAAGGGTTATACGTCTATCGTTACACGGGAAACCAGATTAAGTGGTAGAGGGATTAATAGTTGCACACTTTTGCATGTTTTCGAACAGCTTCTACTGCGCTTTTTTATAAAACCGATCAAATTTTACGAACACTAATGGCAGGTCTCTGTCTCTCACTCCCTGCAAAATGAATCGTCTTGCAGTCAGCTGCTTATTTGAGTAAACTTTCAGTAAGGAAAAAATCTAGAAATTAGTGAACAGGTAATGCCAGTGCTACAAGACTGTAGACATCTACCTTTTCATCTTCTGCTGACTTAAAATGCAAAAAAAACTACGCCTTCGCTGGTTGTACACTGACGTAGATGTCCTTAGATGTGGGACATCTTACCTGGAAGAGTGTGTCCCTGTCTGTTTTGAGCAGTTTAGCGAACTGATAAAGCACCCTTAGGGGCTCCTTGTATCGATTCATTCCAGCCTTCGTCATCCAAGTGTCGAGACTTCGAATGAAATTCCAAAGCTCTCTGCCGGTGGAAGAGTCGATTTTCAGCTTTGCTAAGGTACAAAAAATGATCTGGTTAAGACGTAAAACGGTATGTTAACTCCTTATTATAGTGAAAGAGGCCAAATCTCTGCTCACAAGGAAGAAGAGGGCCTGCGAAAAATATATGCGGAAAGTACTTACGGTTGTCCAAAAACTGCTCAATAATGTGAGTTGAAATTCCATGGAGAAGGCGCCTGAAAAATGTCTCCTCGATGAAGGCTTGTGCGCTCGAAGTGGGTATCTGTTTAGGGTGTTCTGTAGGGGGAACAGGTGGTTTAGCTGTCGCGCTCTTAGATTTGTCAGACGCAGAACGTTGACAGTGTGCAGACGTCTCGAACTTGGTATTTGACCTAACGGCGATAATGTCGGCCGCATCTTCGGAATTTGAAGCTGAGTCGACGTCACTGGAGGCAGTGGTAGCGCTGTCTTTTAAAGAGCCGTTCGTGCTCCCATTGTCCTGGTTGTCTATGTAATCCTCTGCTTGCACCAGCGCTACAGGGTAGTCGACAGCTGCGCCACTCAGCGCCACTGTAATATTATCTTTAACCTGACCCAGTTCGCCGAAGAGACGTTGTTCTGCTAGTTTACCCTTCTCAGCAGCCTTGTCATTATTTCCAAACATTTGACACATTGCTGTCACATCCTCCAAAATTACCTAAGAAGAGTCATTGAAAGATAATGAATGTCAAAATACTTGTATACAATCTTTAGGTCCTTTTTGCTTCAGTTTATTACTCACTCATATTAATAACTTTTTAAACCGTGTCCAGTTTGCGCATGCAACAAATGAGACTGGGGTCATTTGCCACCTGTGAGTGTTTTTACTTTAATAAAATTACTTTCAAATTTTATTGGATTCTTTGCATGTGTGTCATTTTATGCCATCCAGAGGATGACTACAGTATTCACCTTACTGGACGAAACTGAAGGCATGTGTTCTCAGTACACTGGAAGGATGTATTTGCGCTATAACCTGGACTATAGTGGTTGGGAGGATTTTAAAACTTTCCCTTATTTGAAAACAAAATAAAGTATAGTCCAGCTCGTCTTCGTTGCAACTGGGGAGATAAAAAAGCCAAACTTCAAAAACAATATATAATATTGTCATTGTCATTACAAAGGACGCCAAAATGAAGAAAGGGACCGATCAACAAGAGCAACTTAAATCGCTTTTGCCTTCTATTGATGGGGACAACATGTCGAAGAGTGTCGTTAACCTATCTTGAAGGTATATAGCATCTGCTGAAACAAACCTCCTGTCCAAAGGAATAAAATTCATTGATGTCCATGCGACACCGACTAACTTTCTGGCCAATCTCGAGTCCTTTCTACTGACCTCCAAAGTCCCTGATGATATGCGCGCTGACATACGCAGCTGCGCAACAGGTCTTCTTCGGCAAAGGAAATACCATTAGACTCTAGCTATTGAGGAGAAAAAGGGGTTACTGTCACTGGACAGTATAATCATTGTGCCTGTTGACAAAGGTGGAAAAACTGTCGTCGTGGGTAAGACCTACTACGTTAGTAAGGCAAACCAACTCAAACCAAGGCGTACATACCAAACGATGCGGACCCAACAAAAAAGCAGACCGCTGTTATAAAAAAGATGAAAGAGCTTTCTCGGTTGGAACTCATCACCCTCGGGACTTTAAATTTATTTACCTTAGTGACCTTCGCATTGCACATGCCTATGGCCTTCCAAAGGTGCACAATACTGATGCGCCATTGAGGATGACAGTGCCACTAACTGGATCCCCCCATCTACAACCTCGCCAAATGACTATACAGGAAACCAAAACACCTAAGTGATGTATCGCACTACAGCGTCAAAAATTCACAGACATTCCTGCAGTGAATTTCAGGCCTTCAAGTAAGTCCTGATGAATGTATTATGTCGTTCGACATTGTTTCCCTATTTCCCTCTATATCTAATGACTTGGCCATTGATAGCATAGAGCGGCACGAAACTATTGATATTCCAAAACAACACGTCTCGGACATGCTTAAACTTTGTGTATAGAATTATTGTCAGTTCAATGGCAAATAATATCAACAAGTAAAGGGCACCTTAATGGGCTCGCCAATATTGGGGCTACTTGCCGAACTAGTCTTACAGCGACTAGAAGAGGAAGTTTAACAAGCTGTCAAACCGAAAATGTGGATCCACTATGTGGATGACATATTCATTATCATAAGGACTTGCGACGTCGAACAGCTGCACCAGAGTCTAAATGGGGGCTTCACAGCAATAAAATTTACTCGCGAAGATGCAACAGGAGACACCCTCACATTTCTGGACGTGAGAATAAAAGGAATCTCAGATGGCGAACTTGCAACAAGCGTCTATCGAAAGGACTCTACTGCAGAAATATTTCTAACCTATTAGAGCAACCACCCTGCGGCTCATAAAAGAAGCTGTGTTCGTACTATTTTCGAACGGGCCTACCACTATTGCAGTAATGATGGTTTGCTCAAGAGAACTAGCGTACTTGTATAAATTCTTCCGGTCCAATGGATATCCAACAAGCTTTCTCAAAAATTACCTTAAAAGTTATGGTCAAGCACAAAACCTCCTTCCCAATGGAGATATAGAGCCACGGAAATTTTATTCTCTACCTTATATGAATGTAATTTCTGAAACCGCCTCTTGACAATTAAGTCGTAAGCGACCTACTGGACAGACAGTATACTGAGGCAGCCGAAGCACCTAAACGCGGACATCTCATGCAGTCGCTGAAGTACTGCCTCAGAACTTACTTTACCTTTGAAGGGAGAGTCTACGAACAAACAAACTATACACCGATGGGATCACCTCTATTTGGTTTCGTCGCGGAGGCAGTCCTCCAGAGGTTGGAAACGTAAGTGTTCGCCACCCACAAACCACAATTTTAGGCGCGTTATGTGGACGACACTTTCGTCATTATCAAGCGGGAAGGAGTCAACAACTTCCATGCCCTCCTGAACTCCATTTTTCCAGATATTCAGTTCACAATGGAGGCAGAAAACGATGGACAACTAGCATGCCTAGACGTTTTGGTTCATCGCAAGACTGACGGGAACCTCAAGACGACGGTTAACGGGCAGCCTACCAACACTGGCCAGACCCTGAATTACCAAAGCAAACATCCGTTGAGTCC